CCCCCAGCCAACGTGCTCCTCCTCCCTCCGCCGCCCCCTCCTCCTCCCTCCACCACCCTCTTTGGTCCAGCCATCCCCACTGTGTTCCTGCACTTTACCCAGCCCCCACCGTCCGAGGGACAGGAAACTGCCCCAGAACCTGCCTCTTGAGATCAGAAGGGGAGCACCCAAGTCCCCCTCAACGCTTGGGTCTCACTGTGGAGGCCCGACGTGTGTGTGTCAGGTTTGCGGGGAGGAGAGACCAGGGACCCGGCCTGGCGCAGGGACAGCCACTGTGTCCTGGGGGAGGATGCCAGAGCCTCTCTCGCCCACACGGGCCAGGCCGTGTCCCGGGGCTCTCCCAGCAGAGCGGCCCCCGTCAAGGATGGCTGTCGAGGTGCCACCACGTGGGCCAACTCAGACAGCAGCTCTGCTCTGTGACTTCAGTGACACCCCTCCACCCACCAGCCATGTGTCTATGTGTCTACACCCTCCGTTCCCTCCCACCCGGCATGGCTTTCCTCACCTACAGAGCTGGGGCCGGCGGGGGCCATCCGCTAACCTACCTCTTCCCCCTCCTCGATGTGGTAGTCCTTCCTGGTGTTGGGGCCTCCGATGAACATGACCTTGAGCTGCTCCTGGTGCCTGCAATGGACGCGGGGAAACGTTTCCTGGGAGTGAGGAGGGGCAGAGGCTTTGTGGCCAGGAGGCAGCCTGAGCCCACCCGGACAAGGAGTAGGGTTGTTTCTGCATCGCTGTCCCCGTGCCCCCACTCTCATGCCTAGCATGTGCCTGTACGCATCTGTGTCTGGGTTTCTGTGTGTCCCTCTTTTTGTGCGACATCCTCGGACCTGACCAGGGGAGTGGCATGGTGGTGGCTCTGTGGCTTCATCACCCAGGATCCCTGGGCTGCGCTCTACTTACAGGACAGCAGCCAACGGGAGACAGGTTTCCGGGGCCGGGGACAGTGTAGGGGCAAAGTGACCAAATCTAACCCCCATGCTGTCTGATCATGAGTCCCCGAGCTTCAGGAGACTGACATCTCTTGGCGCCCCTCAGGAGCGTCAAATTGGTGTGGCCTGTGTTTAAGAATACCGGCTTGAGCCGGGCTCAGTGGCTCAGCCTCTAATTCCGCGCCTTGGGAGGCCGAGGTGAGTGGATTGCCTGAGCCTGTGGGTTTGAGACCCGCCTGGGCAACTTGGTGAGACCTCATCTCTACAATAAATCAAAATTAGCCGGGTGTGACAGCGCGCGCCTGTAGTTCCAGTTACTTGGAAGGCTGAGGCGGAAGGATCGCTGGAGCCCAGTGGGTCGAGGCTGCGGTGGCCGGGAGTGACCACTGCACTCCAGTCTGGGCGACAGAGTGAGACTCCAACTCAAAAAAAAAAAAAAAGAATACCAGCTTGACAGGGCATGGTAGCTCAAGCCTGTAATCCTAGCATTTTGGGAGGCCGAGGTAAAAGGATTGCCTGAGTCCAGGGATTCGAGACCAGTCTGGGCAACCTAGTGAGACCTCGTCTTTACAATAAATCAAAAAATTAGCTGGGCCTGGTGGCATGTGCCTGTAGTTCCAGCTACTTGGAAGGCTGAGGCTGAAGGATCAACGTAAGCCCAGCAGGTCGAGGCTGCAGTGGCCAGGAGTATGCCACTGCATTCCAGCCTTCCAGCCTGGGCAACAGAGTGAGACTCCAACTCAAAGAACACAGGCTCAAGAATGCTGGATCAGCACGGGGGGCCGGCCAAGGAGGTTGTTCTTGGCCTGAGGGGTACCAGGAAGCCTCGAAAGTTTTTGTTTTTAATCAACTTTGCTGAGATATAATTTAGGTACTCACGAAAAATTCTGGAACAAATCCACCCAAGAACTCTTTCAACCCTCCAGTCAGAATGCATAAATCAAATCTGTTTTTTCCCATGGGCACACTGTTTAACCTTGCTGGGCCTGTTTCCTTGTCTGTTAAGTGGAGAGATTGTTCTTCCAGAGTTTAAATGGATTACGTGAATTAATACTCGGAAATTGGAATAGGATCTGTCATGTCATAAGCATTATGTAAGTGTTTGATAAGGTAAATAAACCCAATGCAACCCTCTCATTTTATAGCCAACTTAACAAGCTCAGAGAGGGTCACGTAGCCAGGGAACAGAAGAGCCTGAGCCAGGGCCCAGGCTCTCTGACTCCCAGGCTGGTGCTGGGTCCATGGTACACACTCAGTTCTTTGGAACGTGAACCAGTGCCCAGACTCCTTGGCCTGTCTGCTGTTGGTGTGGGGTGTCTGCTCCCTGGGGCTGGGCTTCAGGGTCGTCTTGGGTGACCATACGGCGAAGGCTTTCCTGAGAGAGGGGAGGCACAAGCCGGGTGCGGTGGCTCACACTTGTAATCCCAGCATTTTGGGAGGCCTAGGTGAGAGGATTGCCTGAGCCCAGGGGTTGCAGACCAGCCTGGGCAACTTGGCAAGACCTCATCTCCACAATAAATCAAAAAATTAGCCAGGGCATGGTGGTGGGTGCCTGTAGTTCCAGCTACTTGGAAGGCTGAGGCGGAAGGATCGCCAGAGCCCAGCAGGTCGAGGCTGCGGTGGCCGGGAGCGGCCACTGCACTCCAGTCTGGACGACCGAGTGAGACTCCAACTCAAAAAAAACCAAAAACAACTCCAAGTCTAGAAGCCCTAGGGGATCTACTGGTGTGCGGGGGTGGTCTCTGGGAGCCATAGCAAGAAGGTTAGAATAGCACTGGGACCAACCTAGGAGGTTGTTCTTGGCCTGAGGGGTGCCAGGGAGCCTTGTAAGGTTTTTTGGGGTTTTTTTGAGTCAGAGTCTCACTCTGTCACCCAGGCTGGAATGCAGTGGCACGCTCATGGCCACCACAGCCTTGATCTGCTGGGCTTGGGCAATCCTTCCGCCTCAGTCTTCCAAATAGCTGGAACTACAGGCGTGTGCCACTGTGCTCAGCTAATTTTTTTTTTTTTTTTTTTGAGTTGGAA